AGGTTTGTACAGGATCCTCCTCTGATGGGCGTGGGGCGGGTTGGGGGGGGAAAATGGTCACATGATAAAGAGATGAAGTTGCTATGTAGAGACTTATTATACAAACATTATCTCTATGCAATGCAGCCCACAAGTCATAATCACACACTTTTTGTATGATTCAAAATACAGTTTCACTATGACATCAATGTAAATGTTTTAGCATCGATTAATAGGTAATAGTACAGTGGTACCTCGGTAATCGAACTCACTAGAACTCAAATTTCTTTGTCATTTTGTGTTTAAATGCTAAAAACAAAAGAAAACATATTTAGGTGTAATTTTGGGGGGCCGGGAACCAATTGTTTTTCCATTATTTCTTATGGGAAAAATTCGATCAGAACTCGAACTTTTTAGGATTCGATCCGGAGTCCGGAACGGATTAAGTTCAAGAACCGAGGTACCACTGTATATATTAACTAATTTGTGTCATTGTGAGTTGTGCAAGGTTAAAATGTTTTCTTATATTCCTTTATCAAGTCAGTTACTCAGTTTTCAACACAATGAACTATGCTGCAGGTGTAAAACTATTTATAGTTTAAAAATATGACAATCATATTACAAGATTTACAACAGTTTATAAAAGAAATACAGCTGCTACAGACTAAAATGGGTCTCAGTCATCACACACTGCCCTCTCACAAATGGAGAAGAGAGATACATATGTGAGAATGGTGTTTGTAGATTACAGCTTAGCTTTCAATACCATTTTTCCCTCAAAGCTGAATAGGAAGCTGCAGGATTTAGGATTGAGCAGCTCTCTCTGCAGCTGGATCCTCAACTTCCTGTCAGACAGGCGCCAGGTGGTCAGACTGGGCAGCATCACCTCATCCCCCATCACAATGAACACTGGTGCTCCACAGGGGTGTGTACTGAGCCCTCTCCTGTACTCACTCTACACCTACGACTGCACGGCCACTAGCAGTTCCAACCAGTTCGCAGATGACACAACAGTGGTGGGTCTTATCACCAATGGGAAAGAGACGGCATATAGGGAGGACGTCAGTGCCCAGACACATTGGTGCCAGGAGAACCATCTCACCC